CATTGGTCAGCCACTGGCCAACTGCTGGTCAACCACTGGTCAACAGTTGGCCAGTCATTGGTCAGCTGTTGGTCAACTACTGGTCAACTGCTGGTCAACCACTGGTCAGCTGTTGGTCAACTACTCAACTGTAGGTCAACCAGGACCCCCAGGTCCTTCTCTGCAGAGAAGGCCTTCTCCTTCTCCTCATCCAGCAGCTCAGCCCCCAGCCTGCACTGATGCATGCAGTTGTTCCTCCCCTGGTGAAGGACCCCACACTTGCTCATAAGAACCTCACCAAGTTCCTCTCTGCCCAGCTCTCATCCTGCCCAGGTCTCACTGAACAGCAGCACGGCCTTCTGAGGTGTCACCCCCCATGATGTGTTCATGTAACCCCAAATATCCTCACCTGGAAGCGTTCCAGCTCGCCGGTGACGATGGCCTGGGCCTGGGCCAGGGGTGCATGGCAGCGCTCAATGCAACGCTGCACCTGCTGCATGGAGGCTGCTCTGTCCTCACAGCACCGTGCGCTGCAGTGGAACATGGTAGCCTGCAAAGGGTGGGCAAAAAGGGGGGGGTTAGCATGGTGCAGCACCCAAGGGACTCCTCCTAATGTGTGAGCAATCAAGAACCCAGAAGCGCAGAGAGCTGAGGGCTGCAAGGCAGGAACAGTTTGCACAGACCTTGCACATAGGGGATGCAAACATTTTGCACAGGGCATGCTTGGGGGGGGGGGTTGTACAAATGTGTAATGAGCCCCAAGATACCATCGGCCCTCTTGGCCATGGGAGCACATTGCTGGGTTGTGGTCAGCTGTTGGTCAACCATCAGTCAATCATTGGTCAACCATCAGTCAACCACTGGTCAACTGCTGGTCAACCATCAGTGTCAACTGCTGGTCAACTGCTGGTCAACTGCTGGTCAACCATCAGTCAACTACTGGTCAACTGCTGGCCAACCATCAGTCAACCACTGGTCAACTGCTGGTCAGCTGTTGGTCAACCATCAGTCAACCACTGGTCAATTGCTGGTCAACCATCAGTCAACTACTGGTCAACTGCTGGCCAACCATTAGTCACCCACTGGTCAATTGCTGGTCAGCTGTTGATCAACCATTAGTCACCCACTGGTCAATTGCTGGTCAACCATCAGTCAACCACTGGTCAATTGCTGGTCAGCTGCTGGTCAACCATTAGTCACCCACTGGTCAACTGCTGGCCAACCATCAGTCAACCACTGGTCAACTGCTGGTCAGTTGTTGGTAAGCCATCAGTCAACTACTGGTCAACTGCTGGCCAACCATCAGTCAACCACTGGTCAATTGCTGGTCAGCTGTTGGTCAGCCATCAGTCAACCACTGGTCAACTGCTGCTCAGCTGCTGGTCAACCAGGTCACCCAGGTCCTTCTTCACAGAGCTAATTTGCAGCAGCTCAACACCTAATCTAGGGGGCTGCGCACATTTTGCACAGGGGAGGCACCTGGAGGCCACCCAGCTGGCACACAGAGCACGCACTGGGGAGGGGAGGGGGCACAAAGTCTGTGCAGGGCAGGGCATCATGCACTCGGGATGGGTACCACCAAGTTTGCACAGGGCACAAAACCTTCCCAGGGGGGATGCACAAATCTTGCATAGGGCGTGCACTGGGGGGGGAGGGGGAGATGAAGAGGTCACAGGGGATGCAATTGGAGGGGAGGGGGCACAAATTTTGCACAGGCCATACGCTTAGGGGGCACAACACTTGCACGCAGAGTATGCACAAGGGGGGAGGGGGGACGCAGGGCACGCACTGTGGGGCAGAAATCTTGCACACAGAGCACGCACTTGGAGGGATTGCAGGGCTTGCACTTGGGGTGGGGCCACGAAGTTCGCACAGAGCACGTGCTGCAAGCTTGGGGGGCTAGGGGGCAAGCTGGGGGGTTGTACATACCTTGCACACGGCGTGCACTGCGGGGGGAGCACAGCATGCACTGAGGGGGGCACAGAACTTGCACGGAGCTCAAAGGGAGGCGTGCAGAGCTTGCACAGAAACTGGGGGGCACGGGGAGGCTCCAGGGGCACTGGGCGATAATGGGGGGGCACTGGGAGTACTGGGGGCACTGGGAGCACAGGGGCTCGGGCGGTACCTGCATGCCGCGGATGCTGTCCCGCTCCAGCTCCTGCACAACGTTCTCCACCGCCTCCTGCACGCGGCCCTGAGCGGCCTCCGCCATGCCGGGCCGGGGGGGAGGGAGGAAAAGGGGGGGCGGGGCTGGGAGGGGGCGGGGCGGGGCTGGGAGGTGGGGCTGCGGGGTGCAAAGCTGCGAGCTGTGCTGGTGTGCAATGCTGGGTGCTGTGCAGTGCTGTGCTGGTGTGCAATGCTGGGTGCTGTGCTGTGCTGGTGTGCAGTGCTGGGTGCTGTGCAGTGCTGTGCTGGTGTGCAATGCTGGGTGCTGTGCAATGCTGTGCTGGTGTGCAGTGCTGCGTGCTGTGCTGGCGTGCAATGCTGGGTGCTGTGCAGTGCTGTGCTGGTGTGCAATGCTGGGTGCTGTGCTGTGCTGGTGTGCAGTGCTGGGTGCTGTGCAATGCTGTGCTGGTGTGCAATGCTGGGTGCTGTGCAATGCTGTGCTGGTGTGCAGTGCTGCGTGCTGTGCTGCTGTGCAATGCTGGGTGCTGTGCAGTGCTGTGCTGGTGTGCAGTGCTGTGCTGGTGTGCAATGCTGTGAGGTGTGCAATGCTACGTGCTGTGCAGTGCTGTGCTGGTGTGCAATGCTATGTGCTGTGCAGTACTGTGCTGGTGTGCAATGCTACATGCTGTGCAGTACTGTGCTGGTGTGCAATGCTACGTGCTGTGCAATGCTGTGCTGGTGTGCAATGCTATGTGCTGTGCAGTACTGTGCTGGTGTGCAATGCTATGTGCTGTGCAGTGCTGTGCTGGTGTGCAGTGCTGCAAGCTGTGCTGTGCTGGTGTGCTATGCTGTACTAGTGAGCAAAGCTGGGTCTGTGCAGTGCTGTGCTGGTGCACAATGGTGTGTGCTGTGCGGTGCTGTGTTGGTGTGCAGTGCTGCATGCAATGCAATGCTGTGCTGGTGTGCAATGCTGCACATTGTAAGATGCTGCACAGTGTGCAATGCAGTGCTGGTGTGCTATGCTTCATGCTGAGCAACACTGTGCTGGGATGCAATGCTGCACACTGTGCAATGCCATGCCATGGGGTTGTGCCACACTGCAGACTGTGCATGATGCACATTTCTGCATGCTGTGCAACACCACAAGGGTGTGCAGTGCTGCATGCCGCAGCACACATCTGTGCAACACTTAAATGGGCTGTGATGGCGCCCAGCTGTGCAATGCTGCATGCCACGTGATGCTACAACACGGTGCAGCATTGCACCCCAATGCAACGCTGCACTGCCACGCAAACCCTGCACTGCCTTGCACTGCTGTGCAATGCTGCAACACGGTGCAAAGCTGCGCTCCAAGGTTGAGGCCCAGGGATGGGATGCAGGAATGGCTGCAGAAAGTCTGTAAAGATAGGGGAATTGTGGTGGGATGGGAGGGATTTCAGGCCAATGGGATTGGGGTGAACCCAGCAGGGCTTGGGGACAGGGCCAGGATGAAAAGAGGACCCAGAAGGGATGGGAGGAGGAGCAGGACAGAGTGATATGGGGACTGGCTTGGGGTGAGAAAGATAATGGAGGAGGATGGGATGGGGATAAGACTGGGATGAACTGAGGACCCAAAAGGGATGGGAATGGAATGCAGGTGGAATTAAGACCCCAAAAGGATAGGAACAGGGCCAGGATGGGGACCTGAAAACACGTGAATGGGACCAGGGCAGAACGGGATGGAGACTGGATTGAGATGGGATGGACACAGGAGCAAGATGGGATGGAGACCAAGATGAAATGATGACCCAAAAGGGATGGGAACAGAAAGGGGATCAGATTGGGAAGGGATGGGGATCTAAAAGGGATGGGAGGGGGAACAGGACGGGATGGAATGGGGATAGGATGAAATGAGGATCTGAAAGGGATTGGAGCTGGACCAGCATGGGATGAGATGGGGAGTGGAACCCAAAAGGGATGAGATGATGACCAGAAGAGGATGGAACTGGACGAGGATGGGGACTGGGTTAGAATGAGGACAGGATTGGGATGGGGACAGGAGTGGGACATGGAGGGGACCTCGTTTTGCTCAGCCCCAGCTCCCATGGAAGCGACCCCACATTGCTGCCCCTCAATATTTGCCAGCCCCAAATCACAGCACAGCCACAGCCTTCTGAAAAAGTGTCCTTTATATCACTTAAATATCTATAATCCAGGTATTAAGGGGAGGGGGAGGGGGAAAAAGGAAAACAGCTGATCACAATAACATATCATAGAAATCAAAATTAATTTAAACCACACAAAATAAATTAAAACATTAAATATTAACCTTCAGTGCAACATATACAGAAGACATTGAGTAACCATGACTAAAAAAAAACAGAACAAACCCAAAAAATAGCGTCGGGTTGGTTATGATGGGGGCTGTGGAGAGGATGAAGGGGTGGGGAGGGGGTTGGGGCCTCCGTTTTGGGGGAGGTTTCTTAGGATTATGGTTCACTGTATTATTACTAAAAAGAGCTGATCTGTCCCCAAAGGCGCTGCGGTGGCTTCGGGAACGGCCGAGGGTTCGGCGGCACTTGTTGTGGTAGGCACATAGAAAAATAAAGCTGAGGGGATCTCTTGTGTGTTTTGGTTAGAAAATGGGGGGAAAGGGGGAAAATAAGAAGGGGGAAAGGGGGAAAAGAAAGGGGGGAGAGCGGAAGAAAGAAGGGGGGAGAGGGGAGGAAGGAAGGGGGAGAGGGGAGGAAGGAAGGGGGAGAGGGGAGGAAGGAAGGGGGAGAGGGGAGGAAGGAAGGGGGAGAGGGGAGGAAGGAAGGGGGAGAGGGGAGGAAGGAAGGGGGAGAGGGGAGGAAGGAAGGGGGGAGAGGGGAGGAAGGAAGGGGGGGAGAGGGGAGAAAAGGAAAGGGGGAGAGAGGGGAGAAAGGAAGGGGGGAGAGAGGGGAGAAAAGGAAGGGGGGAGAGGGGAGGAAGGAAGGAAAAAAGAAAGAGAAGGGAAAAAGGGAACAAAGAGGGCAAAAAGGAAAAAAAGAAGGGAGAAAAAAAGGAAAAGATAAAGACAGGGAAAAAAAAGGGGGAAAAAAAAGGAGGAGGAGGAAAAAAATAGAAGTGTTTGAGAAAACAAAAAGCCCAACCAGCACCAGTGATGCTTCCCAGGAGCCGGCTGCAGGGGGGATTTTGGGGTGTTTTCCCCCATTTCCAGCACTCTGGGCTGTGGTGGTGGGAGGTGGATTGTCAGAGAGACTGGGAGCACTGGGAGAACTGGGAGCACTGCAGCCGTTGCGGTGCTTCCCCCACTGGTGCTCCCCAGAAAGGGAAGGAGGACAAAAAGAAAGGGGGAAAAATAAAGGGGAAAAATGGGGGAAACCAAAGGGGTCAAAAGGGGGAAACCAACGGGGAGAAGCGGCGTCTGTGTCCCTCTGGGATGCGTTGGCTCCGTCAGACAACTGTGGGGGAAGGAGAGGGGTTATGGGGTTCCTGCATGGGAGCTGAGTCATAGGGTCCCCATGGTGTCCCCAGACCCGTGTCCCTATATTCTAGTGTCCCTATAGTGTCCCCATGCTGTCTGCACATCCTTGAGTCCCCATAGCGAGCCCAAGTCCCCATGATGTCCCCACGTCCCTGTCCCCACTGTCCTCACATCCCTGTGTTCCCATGCATCCCCATGGCATCCCCATGTCCCTACAGTGTCCCCATGTCCCTCCATCCCCACAGTGTCCCACATTCCTGTGTTCCCACGGTGTCCCCAAATCCCTGTATCCCCATTGAGTTCCCATGGCGTGCCCACATCTCTGTGTCCCTACAGTGTCCCCATAGAGTCCTAATGTCCCCATACTGTCCCCACAGTGTTCCCATGACCCCATGGTGTCCCCAGACCTCTGTGTCCCCACATCCTATGTCCCTATAGTGTCTTCATGATGTACCAACATCCCTGGGTCCCCATAGTGTCCCCATGGTACCCCCACATTCCCATGGTGTTCCCATGTCCAAATTGTCCCCACAGTGTCCCCACAGTGAGCCCAGATCGCCATGGTGCCCCCACATCCGTGTCCCCATAGTGTCCCCATGGTGCTCTCACATTCCTATGGTGTCCCCATGTCCCTATAGCGTCCCCATAGTGCCCCCACATTTCCTGCATTCCCATGGTGTGCTCACATCTCTACGGTGTCCCCAAATCTGTGTCCCCATGGCGTCCCCACATCCCTATGTCCCCATGGTGTCCCCATATCCCTCTGCACACATGGTGTCCTCACATCCCCACATCCCCATAGTGCCCCCATATCCCCATAGTGCCCCCAAAGTGTCCCCACATCCCTGTGTCCCCATAGTGCCCCCACATCCCCATAGTGTCCCCACACCCCTGTGTCACCAAAGTGTCCCCACATCCCTGTAGTGTCCCCAAAGTGCCCCCACATCACCACAGTGTCCCCACAGTGTCCCCACGTCCCTGTGTCCTCACAGTATTCTCATGGTGTCCCCACATCCCCATAGTGCCCCCACGTCCTTATGTCCCCAGGTCCCCATGGTGTTCCCACATCTCCATGGTGTCCTCACGTCCCCCTGTCCCCATAGTGCCCCCACATCCCCATGGTACCCCCACGGTGTCCCCACATCCCCCCAGTCCCCACAGTACCTCCACATCCCCATAGTGTCCCCACATCCGTGTCCCCACAGTGCCCCCACATCCTCATAGTGTCTCCACATCCCTGTGTCCCCACAGTGTCCTCACGTCCCTCTGTCCCCATGGTGTCCGCACATCCCTGGTGTCTCCATCCATGGTGTCCCCATAGTGCCTCCACATCCCCATGGTGTCCCCATGTCCCCATGGTGCCCCTATGTCCCTCTGTCCCCACGGTGTCCCCACGCCCCCTGTCCCCACGATGCCTCCATATCCCCACAGCGTCCCCACATCCCTGTGTCCCCATGTCCCCATAGTGCCCCCACGTCCTCTTGTCCCCACGGTGTCCCCACGCCCCCCTGTCCCCACAGTGCCTCCATATCCCCACAGCGTCCCCACATCCCTGTGTCCCCACAGTGCCCCCATCCCTTACCACTCTCAGTATGGCAGCAGGACGCTCCACCCTTCAGCAGCCCCGACGGTTTCTCCTGCCCGCACAGCGGCACCCGGCAGCACCCGCAGCGCTTCCGCAGCCGGCAGCAGCTGTGGGACACGGTGGTGATGCTCAGCACCCCACACCTCCCTCCCGATCCCACATCCCCAACCCTCACCCCACTCACTGGATGAGCACGCAGGCTGCGATCAGCACCGCCGAGGCCACCACGGCCACCACCAGCAGCGCGGTGATCGTCTGCTTCTTCTGGTTGGCGGCCACCACGGCCAGCAGGTCTGCGTGCTCACAGCGCGTCCCCACGTAGCCTGAGTGACACCTGCAGGGGTGAGGAAGCGGTGGGGAAGAGTTTGAGCCCTTTTGAGCCTCATTTTGGGTGCTGTGCGTGGCCAAACGCACACGAGGTGGCTTCAGCAGCCTACAGAATATGGGGACGTATCGCACTGAGGCACATGGGCAGGGATTCTGTAGCTCTTCCCTGGGTGGCAGCAGCTGCTGGACCCGGCCTTTGTCACCAACAGGTCCTTGGGGCACCCCCAGGTCACTTTGGACCATCCTTGGGTCACTTCATATCACTTCAGGGCATCCCTGGGTCACCCTAGAGCATCTCTGGGTGGCCTCACGTCACATCAGGGCATCCTTGAGTCACCTTGGGGCATGATTTAGGTGGCCCCACATCACCTCAGAATGTCCTTGTGTCCTCTCAGAGCACCCCTGGGTCACCCTGGAGCATCCCTGGGTGGCCTCATGTCACCTCAGAATGTCCTTGTGTCACCCTGTGTCCTCTCAGAGCATCCCTGGGCCACCCTGGAGCATCCCTGGGTGGCCTCATGTCACCTCAGAATGTCCTTGGGTCACACCCATATCACCTTGGAGCATTCTCATGTCACCTTGCAGCATTTCTAGGTCACGCCCACATCATCCCAGAGCATCCTTATGACATCCCGCGTCACCTCGGAGCGTCCCTGGTTGGCCCCATGTCACCTTAGAACCTTCATGTGTCACCCTGTGTCCTCTCAGAGCAACCCTGGCTGGCCATGTGTCACCTCACAGCATCCTTGGGTCACATCCATGTCACCTCAGAGCATTCTCATGTCACCTCGAAGCATCTCCAGGTCACACCTGTGTCACCCCGGAGCATCTCTGGGTCATCCCACATCCACTTTGGGCATCGTCACGTCACCCTGTGTCACCTTAGAGCATCTCTAAGGGTCATCCCATGCCCTCATAGAGCATCTCTGGGTCACCCCATGTCACCTCAGAGAATCTCCACGTCACATCAACATCATCCCAGAGCATCCCTGGGTCACCTCAAAGCAACATAGGTGACCCCATGTCACCTCGGAGCATCCCTGGGTCACATCTATGTCACCTTAGTGCACCTCTGGGTTACCTTATGTCACCCCAGAGCATTGCTGGGTCACACTCACATCACCTTGGAGCATCCTCATGTCACATCTATGTCACCCCTGGGTCATCCCACATCCTCTTGGAGCATCTTCATGTCCCCCTGGTGCATCCCTGGGTCACCCCATGTCACCTCAGAGCATCCTCGTGTCACCCCATGTCACCCCAGAGCATCCCTAGGTCGTCCTGTTTCACCTCCAAGCATCCTCATGTTACCTTACGTCACCTGGGAGCATCCCTGGGTCACACCCATGTCACCTGGGAACATCCTCATGTCACCCCACGTCACCTCGGAGCATCTCCATGTCACACTTATGTCACCTCAGAGCATCTCTGGGTCATCTCACATCCTCTTGGAGCATCCTCATGTCACCTTGGTGCATCCCTGGGTTACCCTATGTCACCCCTGAGCATTCCTGGGTCACATCTATGTCACCTTAGTGCACCTCTGGGTCACCTTACGTCACCTCAGAGCATCCCTGGGTCACCCCATGTAACCCTGGAGCATCTCCAGGTCACACCTATGTCACTTCAAAGCACCTCTGGGTCACCCCACATCCTCTTGGAGCATCTTCATGTCACCTTGGTGAATCCCTTATCTCCTTAGAGCATCTCCGTGTCACTTTATATCACCTCAGAGCATCCCTGGGTCACATCTATGTCACCTTATAGCATCCCTGGTCACCTTATGTCACCTCAGAGCATCCTCATGTCACCTTAGAGCATCTCCAGGTCACTTTATGTCACCTCAGAGCATCCCTGGGTCACATCTGTGTCACCTCCAAGCATATTCATGTCACCTTAGAGCATCCCTGGGTCACCTTATGTCACCTCCATGCATCCTTATGTCACCTTAGAGCATCTCCAAGTCTCTTTATGTCATCTCCGAGCATCTTCATGTCACCTCAGAGCAACCCTGGGTCACATCTGTCACCTTAGAGCATCCCTGGGTCACCTTATGTTACCTCAGAGCATCCTCATGTCACGTTAGAGCATCTCCGGGTCATCCCATGTCACCTCCAAGCATCTTCATGTCACCTTATAGCATCCCTGGTCACCTTATGTCACCTCCATGCATCCTTATGTCACCATAGAGCATCCCTGGGTCATCTTATGTCACCTCAGGGCATCCTCATGTCACCTTAGAGCATCTCCAGGTCACTTTATGTCACCTCAGAGCATCCCTGGGTCACCTTATGTCACCTCCAAGCATCTTCATGCCACCTTAGAGGATCCCTGGGTCACCTTATGTCACCTCCATGCATCCTAGTGTCACCTTAGAGCATCTCCGGGTCACTTTATGTCACCTCCAAGCATCTTCATGTCACCTCAGAGCAACCCTGGGTCACATCTGACACCTTAGAGCATCCCTGGGTCACTTTATGTCACCATAGAGCATCCTCATGTCACCCCACGTCACCTTAAAGCATCCCTGCTCACCTTATGTCACCTCCATGCATCCTTATGTCACCTTAGAGCATCCCTGGGATGCCTTAAGTCATCTCAGAGCATCTCCAGGTCACTTTATGTCACCTCAGAGTATCCCTGGGTCACATCTATGTCACCTCCAAGCATCTTCATGTCACCTCTGAGCATCCTGGGGTCACCTTATATCACCATAGAGTATAGAGCACCCCTGGGTCACCTTATGTCGCCTCCAAGCATCTTCATGCCACCTCAGAGCATACCTGGGTCACTTTATATCACCTCCATGCACCCCAGTGTCACCTTAGAGCATCTCAGGGTCACTTTATGTCATCTCCAAGCATCTTCATGTCACCTCAGAGCATCCCTGGGTCACATCTGACACCTTAGAGCATCCCTGGGTCACCTTATGTCACCTCCATGCATCCTCATGTCACCTTAGAGCATCCCTGGGTCGCCTTAAGTCACCATAGAGCATTCCTGGGTCACCTTATGTCACCTCAGAGCACCTCCAGGTCACTTTATGTCACCTCAGAGTATCCCTGGGTCACATCTATGTCACCTCCAAGCATCTTCATGTCACCTCAGAGTATCCCTGGGTCACCTTATATCACCATAGAGCATTCCTGGGTCGCCTTAAGTCATCTCAGAGCATCTCTAGGTCACTTTATGTCACCCCAGAGTATCCCTGGGTCACATCTGTGTCACCTCCAAGCATCTTCATGTCACCTCCGAGCATCCCTGGGTCACCTTATGTCACCTCAGAGCATCCTCATGTCACCCCACGTCACCTTAGAGCATCTCTGGGTCATCCCTCGTCACCCCTGCCCATCCCTGGGCCACCCCCCCCAAACCACCCCGCAGAGGGGCCCCCTATGGGGCAGATCCCTCTCCCCCACCCCCTCTCTTCTCTTACACACACGCCGGCTTGTCCTCCTGCACCAGGAAGCGGCACGTCCCGTGGAAGCAGAACTGCCGGTGGGAGTCGGGGCACTCATTGAAGTGTGACCGCACGGCTGCTGCCACTGGGGGATCTGTGGAGGGGGGTGGGGGTGGAAATAGGGGAAAAAAAAAACAAAAATAAAAGGAGAAAAACATGAAGGGCATCGCCGTTGGGATCTAGCCAACAAATGCATCAAGGCTGCTGCTTTATCCACCAAAACGAACCCGGCTCGGTCCCGCTGCACGACCATAAGCCTGCCTGGCACCGGAGGAATTTGCTAAAGAGCTTAGAGATAAAATAGGGGCGGCGAGAGTTAAACGAGAGCCGGGGGCTGCCCTGGTGTGGGGTGGGCGCCGAGATGCTGTTTCCCATTACGCCCCGAGCTGGTTTGAATTATCCTCCCCGGCAGAGACGGAAAACGAATATCCTGCTGCTGGCTCAGCCCGCGCGTCAAACACATCCGACGGCTGTCGTTTCAAAGCCACCTCAAGTTCCTGCTGCTGGGATTTATGGCAGCCCTGTGGTAATTAACGCCGCGGCCGCCGAATGATTCCGGGTCCTGTGAGACCCTGCACGCGGCCGGGGTGCTGAGGTCCCTTTGGGGGTTCCATCCTTGGGCTCCCATCCTTGGAGCCAAGACTTTGTTGTTATGGGGTGCAGCCAAAGCTCCCTCTCAGCATCCCTCAGTGTTTGTTCATAGGATGCACCACAGCCACTGCCCCCCGAAATCCCCATTGAGCAGGGGAGAAGATTCCTCTCCTCCCATGCACCATATTGCAGGAGGAAGAGCGCTCCGCTGCGTCGCCTCCTGGGGGGGTTCCCAGCAATGGCACATTTGGGGCTCTAGGATGTGCCAGCACAGAGCAGCTCCCCATCTCCAATTCCAACTTCATCCCCATCCATATCCCCCCTTTCCCACGTCCTCAAACCCACACCCATATCTTCATCCATACCCCCAACCCCAAGTCCATCCCCATCCATATTCACATCCCCCTCCATACTCCCAACCCTGTTCATATTCCCTTGCCCGTGCCCGTCCCCATCCATAACCCCATTCCCCTCCATCCCCCCACTCATCCCCCCATCCCCCCTTCCCCATCCACACCCCTCACATCCACATCCATCCCCATCGTATCCCCTTCCCCACCCATCCCCCCCTTCCCATCCACATCCCCATCCTCCCATCCATCCCCATTCATTCCCCTTTCCCCATCCATACCCCCTTCCCCACTTCCATCCCCATCTTTCCCCCAAATCAACATCCATCCCCACCCACACCCCCATCCCCATCCATATCCTCATTCCCACATCCATCCCCATTCATTCCCCCTTCCCCATCCCCACTTCCATCCCCATCTTTCCCCCATCCCCATCTTTCCCCCATCCCCACACCCATCCCCCCCATCCCCATCCATATCCCCATCTCCACTTCCATCCCATTGCCCATCCATATCCCCACACCCAACGCTATCCACACCCCCTCCTCCTTCCCCATCCATACCCCCATGCCCATCCCTGCCCCATCCTTCCCCTCCAATCCTGCACACAGCCCAGATAACCTCAGCCAGGTGCAATGTCCTTTTTTTGCTTTAGCAGCAGCACGACAAGCAACAACCCACCCAAACATGACGCTATAGGGCAGCAGGGCCCTCAAACTCACCGCTCAGCGCTGACGTTGTGTTCTCCAGGGCATGGCACACAGCCACCAGCATGCCTGCGGGCAGACGGACAGGGCTCAGAGCCAACGCAGGAAGAGAGAAAAGCCCTAAAACCTCTCGTGAAGACCCTGAGTTAAAAGGGAACGGGGGCAGCCGTGCCACCACCAGGACCTGAACTCTCTTAGGGTCGGCACTGGGAGCTCCCCATTTGCCTGCTGTGTCCCCCCACCTCCTCGACCCTTCTCCTGTCCTGTGCATTCATTAGAATCCCCAAATTCTTCCTTTTTTTCTTTTTTTGTGGGAAAACATTCCCTTTTTGCTGGGGGGGGAAACATTCCCTTTTTGGGAAACCCATCTGGCTCTGAGGGTTTAACCTCAGAGATGAGCGCAGCAGCAGCAGCAGCGCTTCCCGCAGACCCCTCTCTGACCCAATTACTGCACGGGGTTAATCAACCCATGCAGAAAGCTCCAGCTGAAGGCAACGAGCAGGGCACCAACCCCGGGCTCCCAGCTCAATATCCCTCCTCCTGGCTGCTCCCCATGCACACAGTGATACTCCCTGCCTACATCAACCCGAGGGGACTCCGTGCGTTATCTGGGAAGTGGCTCATCCCTGTGTCACCAGGCAGACTCAGTGTCCCCTCCTGCCACCCCCAGAACCCGCTGTGCTGCCTCACCCTGCTGCTGCTGGGGCTGGATGAGCCCCGCTGGCCCCATGAGGTCACCCCGGCCCTATTTGCTGCTCCACTTCCCTTCCTATCACCTCTTGCTTTCTATTTAGCAAAGGCTTTGTATTTAGGAGGCCGGTGTTCTTCCCCAGCGACCCCCATGAGTCTGGTTTTAATGCATCACCAAGTGAGCCCAAACCCCATGTTCTGGCCTTTGGGATGACCCTGACACCAACAAGTGAGGATCCCCTGGGATAAGACGCACGATGCCCAGGACGCAGAGCTGCCAGTGTCCCCACCATAACATCTACGGCCAACGCTTCTCCTCTACAAGCACCACCAATCCCATCACGGCCCCAAAGGGCTCCAGCCACGATGCTCCCATCCCATTTCCCCACAGATCCCAGCCCTGCTGGACCAATTCCTCCACACCCCATTGCACACTGAGATGAGCCAGCAGCTCACAGGTTGGAAGAGACCTCCAAGTCCAACCCCAACCCATCCAACCATCCCCACCAACCGCGTTCCCCCAGTGCCACATCTCCACGGTTCCTCAGCACCCCCAATGGATGGGGTGACCCTCCTTGTCCAAAAACCCCCATTATCTCCAGGCTCCTTCCAGCCCCACATTCTCCCTCCTAATCAGCTTTGCTCATAGTTCCCCTCGGCTTTGCAGCTTAGCCCTCTGCAGCCACCAGGTGCATCTGCACGTAGCGAGGGGGAGGAGGTGGCAGCTCCCTGGGTGCTTGCAGCCATCGCTCCCACCTCTTGTTTACAAGGTTTGGGGAAGCACTCCCAGCGGGATGCAGGGTCTGGATTTCAAACAGAGGGGGACTTGGGGCTGACAGAAGTCAGATGGGCCCAGGGAGGGAAGCCAAGAGCCGGCTATGGGGAGCGGAGGGGACCTGGGTGTCCCCAGACTGAGCCAAATGCATTAAGTTAGGTTAGGGTTAGTTTCTAGCAGTAGGGTCTAGGGCCAAGGGCCAGGGTAGGGTTGTGGTCTATAGGGTAGGATCCAGGGGGTAGGGTTTAGGGTCTATGGGTAGGGTCTACACTCTAGGGTTGAGGTCTACAGGTACAGGCTAGAGGCTGGATTTTAGGTTCTACAGGTTGGGTCTAGGGGTTAGGTTTTAGGGTCTACAGGTAGGGTTTAAGCTCTACAGGTAGATCCTACAAGTAGGGTGTAGAGGCTAGGGTCTAGGGTTGGGGTCTACAGGTTAGGTTTTAGGGTCTACATGAAGGGTTTAGGGTCTATGGGCAGAGTTTACACCAGGGGCTAGGCACTAGGGCTGGGGTCTACAAGTAGAGGTCTAGAATTTCATTTTAGGACTACAGATGGGGTTCAGTCTATGGGTAGGGTTTAGGGTCCAGGGTTGGGATCTATGGGTAGGGTCTATGGTTGAAGTCTATGAGTAGGGTCTATAGGTAGAGCCTAGGGATTAGGGTTTGGGGTCTACGGTAGGGTGGCTGCTTGCATGTGGGATGGAAGCTGCTCGTCCCCAGCCTTCCCCTGGCAGCCCCGCACTCTGGAGCCCTTTGGCCACCACGGGGCAGAGCACACCGCGCTGCGCTCCCCCGGCCCCCCGGCCCCGAGCGGGCAGCTCCCAGCCCCTTTCCTTCGGAGCAGCAAAGCGAGCGAGGAAAGCACGGAAAGCAACCTCGCGCCCCAGCAAATAACACCTTCGGAGCTGCACTCCGTGCCCCGCGATCCCGTTCCTCTCCGCCCCTTTTCCCCCAACGAAGCGGCACAGGGCGAGCGCCCGTCCTGCTCGGTGCAAACCGACGCGCGCTCCTTAATTAATCCTCCCCTACCATAAATTACGAGGCTCCCCGAGGCCGTACCCAGCAAACCGCCGCGATCCCACAAGCAGCGGAGCAAACAACTCCGCGAGCGAGCGACGGCAACCTCGGGAGGTGGTGGTGGTGGTGGTGGTGGGGTGAGGGGGGGGGACACGAACAACCCACCACACCCCCATAGCAGCAGGGATGTCCCCCCCGGACCCGGGCTCAGGGATGCTCTGTTCTCCCCACTTCGCAACAAAAAACAAAGTTTCCTTTTCTCGCCGGGTATCGATGCTTGCGGGAAGCTCGCTGCCCCAAATGGGTTACGGGGTCGGGGAAGTAAAAGAGGTGGGGGGGGGAGAGGGGGGAGCAGCCAACACACCCCCTCCTCACACTCCCTCCCTTCCAGACCCCAACACGTACCCAGCGCCAGCGCGGCCGCCTCTCCCGGCATTCTGGTGGCGGTGGCGGCGGTGGTGGCGGCGGACGCAGTGGTTGGCGGTGCGCAGCGCCCAGTGCGGCCGAGGGGCCGGGCTCCGCGCCGGCGGAAATGGGCGCGGATTCCCCGCCGGCCCCGGGGCGGAGCTACGCGGCCCCCGGCCCCGCGGTGCCCGGTTCCGAGCTCCCCCCGACGGCAGCGTTCGGTGCGCGCCGTCCCGTTTCTCTCGGCGGATCGTTCCTTTCGTTATGGGGTGGGAGGTGGGGAAATGGGGAAGGGAGGTGGTGGTGGTGGTGGTGGTTGGGGGGGTGGGGGGGGGGGGGGAGAAGGTTTGAAGGTTCGAACCGGTCCTTCCCTCCTTGCTCCTATCTGCTCCATCGCGCTGCCGGATTGCTTCACCGACCGCAAAGTGCATTCCTGCAGCTGCTGCTGGCCGCCGGCCCACGCCCCTTCCTCCCCGCTGCGAATCTCACCTCGGTGATCCAAGCCTTTGTCATCCTTCAATCAGTGGGGCCGCGGACGAGGCCACCTGGGAACCCGGGGGAAGGCAGGGAGATGGGAACGCGGCCCCCACTCCCACCTCTGCCTCCCTCCCCCCTTCCCCCCCCCCCCCCCCAACCCCGTCACTGGAGTCCCCCTGGTGGCAAACGTGGCCTTTCGGAGCGCTGTCCCCAGGTGCTGTGACGTGACCTGCAGATGGGGCTGGCCTGATGGTGTGGGGGGGGACGACATACGTGGGGGGACCCTTTGGGGACCGTTAGGGGACACCCTTTGGCAGCAACCGTTTGGGGGACACCCTTCGGAGATGCTTTGGGGACACTTGGGGGCACTCTTTGAGAACAGCTTGGGGACAATATTTGGGGACGCTTTGGGGACACCCCTTTGGTAACACCCCTTGGGGAGCCTTTGGGAGCACCTTGGGGAGGCTCTTTGGGGACCCTTTGGGGACGCCCTTTGTGGACCCCTGGGGGGCACTCTTTGGGAACACTTTGGGGACAATATTTGGGGATGCTTTGGGGGGACCCTTTGGGAAAACCCCTTGGGGACCCTCTGGGGGCACTTTGGGATTTAACCAGCCTTTGGGAACACAATGGGGAGGCTCTTTGGGCACCCTCTGATAATACCTTGGGAACATCCCTTGGGGACCCGTTGGGAACCCTTTGGGACACCCTGTGGGGACACTTTGGGGATGCCCTTTAAGAACACCTTGGGAACCATTTGGGGACACCCTTTGGAAATGTTTTTGGGACAGCCTTTGGGAACACTCCTTGGGGACCCTTTGGAAACACTCTTTGGGGACACCCTTTGGAGACACTCTGGAGACAGCCTTTGGGAACACTCCTTGGGGACACTTTGGGGATCTCTTTGGAGACCCTTTGGGAACACAGTTTGAGAACCCCTTGGGAACACCCCTTGGGAACCATGTGGGGACACCCTTTGGAGATGTTTTGGGGACAGCCTTTGGGGTCCCTTTGGGAACACGCTTTGGGGACACGGTGGGCACCTTTTGGGGACCCTTTGGGAACACCTTTTGAGGACGCTCTTTTGGAACACCTTGGGGACTCTTTGGGGACACCCTTAAAGAACACCTTGGGCACATCCTTGAGGCACACCTTGGGGACCCTTTGGGCACACCTTGGGGACCCCCCGCGTGGGGCCGGCGCCGCAGGAGCACCCAGCAGCCACGCGGCAGCCCGGGAGCTGCTCCCAGCCCTGTGGTTTGAGCAGAGCCGAAACTTCCAGGCGTTCCCAGGCGATACCATCTGCTCTTAGCACTTGAAAGCAGCTCCACCGCACAAATGAGGGGCTGGGAAAGCCTTGTTCCCAACGCTGCTGATCCCAAATACCTGACACCAAGTCACAGTCAGAGCGGTTCAGCGCAGCACTCACCGAGTTCCCCAAATCCCATTTTTTCAGCCCAGCCCAGCCGTGCTGTTCCCTTCACGCTCACCTTTCTCCCCTCCGGCGTGCGGAGAGCCCCGATATTTGTTTGTAAATAGATGCTTCCTCCTTTGCAATATTCCTCCCACTCCTGGCGTGAATCACTCGTGGAAGCAGCTGCTGCCTCCGCAAAAACTGGAATTATGGCAATTTGGGGTGAATCAGGGCAGGTGATGGGTCAGAGGCGGGGAAGGAGTGCAGTGGGGCCGGGTAACGTGGAGGGGGATGCTCTCCAGAGAAGCAGTGGGCAGGCCACCACAAGGGAGGCACAATCTTTTCTCCATATGTGAGGATGCTCTGCAAAAGAGCAGCGGGATCACAGGGCAAAGAAACTTGGCTTGGAGTCGCACGCCGGCTGGGTGATGGGAGAATGCTGCTTAAAAGGAAGAAATTCCTTTGTTTTTTGTGCTCCCCCCCTTCGTTCTCATCGGTTGCCCCTGAGCACCGTTAAAGAGAAGGAGCGATCCTACAGAGCAAAGCAAACTGGCACTGGGGCTGCAGCTCCAGGGCTGTTAATGCCTCGGCTGCAGCGCGCAATGCACGTTTCCATGCTCTTCCCACTGTTAGAAAACCACAAAAACAATTCTTGAATTGTTCCTCCCAGATGCTGGCAAGGTGCTTCTCATCCTTCGCAAATTGCTCTTTGTCCGCTGCTCCTTCTGGGGGATGAGATGAAATGGGGATCTGTTGGCTCTGAGTGGGGTTGGGGGGCAGATCCTGCCTTGCAAAGCTGCAAACTGAGTGCAGGGCTCTGCTCGACCCAACTGCCCCATTCAAGGCGAAAACCCTGAGAAAGGGCAACTAAAAATTCCTTGTTTTTCACTGAGTTGGGAGGATGGGATTTTTAATTATTATTTTTTGGTAAGATTATTTTTCCTTTTGCCTTGCAGGCAGTTAGGGAGGCTGGAGGACAACGGTTGGGTAGAAACCCAAGTGATGGCACAGCGTGGATAGGGCACCTCGGGGGCCCTTTGTGGTCACTTGGAGACCCTATGGGAACTGCTTGGGAACATTCCTTGGGGATCCTTTGGGAGCATCTTGAGAACATCCTTTGGAGATCCTTTGGGAACGTCTTGGGAACATTCTTTTGTGGCCCCTTGAAGAACCCTTTGGGGACCTTTGGGTGGACACCCTTTGGGAGCACTCTGGGGGACGCTCTCTGGGGATCCCGTGGGGAATCTTTGGGAACACCTTGGGGACACTCTTGGGGCACCCTTTGGGATACTCTGTGGGGACCCTTTGGGGATACTCTGGGGACACTCTTTGGGCACCCTTTAGGAAGACTCTTTGGGGACCCCTCGGGGAATCCTTGGGAACATTCTTTGGGGAACCCTTTGGGAACCCATTGGGGACCCCCATGCGTGGCTGGTGCCACAGGAGCACCCAGAAGCCATCACCCACAACAAAATGTACCCAATATCCAGAGCTGGGAACACCCAGACCTCACTCACACCCCTGAGAGATGAGGGGAACGCTGCTGGCTTCGGAGGAACCGCTTGGCAACGCTGGGCCATCTCCGCCACAGAGATGCCTTTAATCTCTGCTTAAAACATTCTGACGTGGCGGGGAAAAAGGAAAAGCAAAAAAGCCCATCGATATCCTGCCCCGAAGCAGCGTGCAACAAGGGGGCTGTGTGCTTGTGTCCTGCATAAAAGGCTCCGTCCTCCTGTTTGTTTTGGAGGGGAACGTGAAAATTGGGCACACGGCGCTCCTCGCGCCCTCCGCCTCCCTCGCCCCGTTCCTCGCACAAACCCAAATTGTAGCTGCTGGGCTGGTTTTGGCTGCTGCTTTGAAGGCAGAAATCAATCAGGCAGCCAGCAACCGTCCCCCCCTGTTTATTTTCTTTCTGCACGGGGTTGGGAGAAATTAAACATTGCGCCCAAGGTCAGCGCCGCAGCGTTGGTTGCATGGCAGCTCCCGTTTCCCTCCTGCACCCAGCCTGCAGTGTGCACCCCTTCTGTCATTCCCCCATCTCAAATGTTGCCCCCCTGACATTTCCTCCTGCAAAAACAAAAAGCAAAAAAAAGCAAAAAATGGGGCCTTCTTGCATTTTTTTTTTTCCTGGCTTTATCTTGCAGCAACCGGTTCTGTTTTTCTGCTGGCTTAAAGGGCTCTTTCATAGCTGCTATTTTCCCCTGTGAATGTACATTTCATTCAAGTCCCTTTTTTTTTTTTCCTTCCCTTTTTTTTTTTTTTTCCTAAATAACTTCTTGGGGTTTTGTTCCTCCCCAGACATTTTCTTTAGCTCCCCTAATGATGTTTGGGGACCTTCTTTGCACAAAGGCTCTATAAATATAGGATTTTTCACCTACTTCCAACCCAGCCCTTCTCGCGGCCACTAAAAGGCCTTTGTTGGCTGCACCAGCAGAGCTGGCACCTCGCAGCCTAAAGTCAACAGCGCAGTGAGCACTCAGAGCTCCTATTCTATCGGTGTATTTTCAGCCAGCGGGCGCGGGGCTGGGAGAAGGTGCAGCAAAACCCCTCCGTGGGTGCAAACGTGGAGGGAGAAGGGCCGGCGGCAGGTCCCTACGCCAGGTGCTTTGGCTGCTGTAGGGTTTTGGGATCCCCGTGACCGCTGCGGTCGCTGCTGGGACATAGGGGGCATTGAGGCGAGTCGCTGCCTGGCGCTCGTGCTGCACGTTGGGCCGTGCCCTTAAAAATCCTGAGGTTTTGGGTGGTTTTATTCACCTGTGTGGGGTTATCCCACGAGCTGCGAGCGGGGCAGGAGGGGTGTGGGGTGGGGGTTTGTTGTCGGAGCAGCACCCAAAGCGCCGACGGGACGCTGCTCCAGTGAGACTTGCAGGCTCTGGAGGCCTCCCCGCGCCCTTTGTCCTCTTCCAGGGTAAAAGGAGCTCGGTGCCCACTGGGGGAAAGCAAGCAGAGGAACCAGGACCTGCAGCAAACAGGAGCCTTCTGTCCCCAGGCCACCACCCCGCCAGGCGCAGCCGCGCAGCACATGCCCCAACTCGATGCATTTGCCCTCGTTCCGCTTTGTTTCTCCCTCGGCTGCATTGTGCAGAGAGCTGAGTCAGCAGGACCCCCCCCCCCCCTCCACAGCCCTCCCTTGTGCAGCACTTCTGTGCCAACGAACCCACGAGGGAGAGGAGGGGGGTGGGGGGGACGTGGGAACGCAGTCCCATAGAGGAGCAGCCCGGGGGGGAGGCTGCGAGCGCTGCGCCCACGGCGCTGACTCAGCCCCTCTTGGGAGGAGGAGATGAAGGCGAAGGATGGCAGTGGGGACACTGTGACTCAACCATCTGGAATGGCAGGAATTCTTTCCGCTGGCCCTACCTGCCCCGGGAACTGGCACACAGGTAGAACTGGTCCAGTTGTTCTCCTCCAGGATGGGAGACCCCGCGGGGGATCGGATGCTCCTTGAGCTCCGTGGGCTCGTAGCACCGAGCGTTCCTCACCGAGACAAGCATCAGGGAGAGAGCTTTGGGTCTGCGCCGACGCACGGTGAGTGTCAGTGCCTTTAGAGCCCACAGCCTCGTGTTTGGGTGTAACACGCGCAGAGAGGGTGGGAAAAACCTATGGATAGGGAGGGGAAGAGGTGAGGGCAGCTGTGGGACTGTGCTGGATGCTTTGGACAAAGCCTGGGTGGCTTTGGTTGGTGGCATTGGGAGGTTGGGTTGGTGGCACTGGGAGGTTGGGTTGGTGGCATCGGGAGGATGCGTTGGTGGCATTGGGAGGTTGGGTTGGTGGCACTGGGAGATTGGGTAGGTGGCATCAGGAGGATGGGTTGGCAGCACTGCAGTGCTGGGTTGGTGACATTGGGAGGATGGTTTGGTGGCAGTGGGAGACGGTTGGTGGCACTGCAAGGGTGGGTTGGTGATGCTGGGAGGTTGGGTTGGTGTTACCAGGAAGTTGGGTTGGTGTCACTGGGAGAATGGGTTGGTGACATTGGAAGGATGGGTTGGTGGCATTGCAAAGATGGGTTGGTGACAATGGTACGATGGGTTGATGGCTTTGGGAGGATGGGTTGGTGATACCAGGAAGTTGGGTTGGTGACACAGGGAGAATGGGTTGGTGGCACTGCAAGGGTGGGTTGGTGACATTGGGGGGGATGCGTTGGTGGCACTGGGAGGATGGTTTGATGGCACTTGGAGGTTGGGTTGTTGACATCGGGTGGCTGGCTTGGTAACATCAGGAAGTTGAGTTGGGGACAATGGGATGATGGGTTGGTGGCACTGCAATCCTGGGTTGGTGACACCAGGAAGTTGGGTTGGGGACATTGGGGTGATGAGTTGGTGGCATTGAGAGGATGGGTTGGTGACAATGGGACAGTGGGTTGATGACACTGGGAGGGTGGGTTGGTGACAATGGGAGGATGGGTTGTTAGCATTGTGAGAATGGGTTGGTAGCACTGGTGACACCAGGACAAGAAGCTGTTGTGCCTGTCCTACAGCTCAGGCCCCACCATGGCAGACCAAGGCCCATTTTAAGAACTCTTACTGCATCTTTAGGGCCTACAGCCCTGTCACAAGCTCTATAGGATCTCTAGCCCCAGCTCAGGGCACACAGCCTGTAGAGGCAGGCAGAGCACTGGGACACGGCCCAGCAGCGCAGAGCCACAACGCAATGCAAACAGCGGGGCTGGGAGAGCCCAGAACCCCGCGCTGTGCTCACGTGGGGGCCGGGCAGCGACAACACTGAGCTGATTTTGCTCAGTTGCAAAACAAAATTCACCGCTGGCCCGGCTCCAAGCCTGGAAAATTTTTGAGCGTTGAGGAGCGGCCTTGGTGGAACGGAGAGCCGACGTTTGGTGGCTGCGTGCGTGCATGGAGCTGCGCAGAGCTGGGGCACGACTGCTGCGGCTGCAGAAGCCCAGCACAGCGTGATGCGTGCGCTCAGGGCTGTGACTGTGCACCACGACGTGCCCCAGGGAGTGCCGGCGCTGCTGCAAGCAGGGGAACTCAGGCGGGAAGAAGGGAATGGCTTTTCTGGGGATTGCTGCTATTTTGGGGTTGGGTTGCAATGGTTTCCTGCTTGGTGACGTTGCTGGGTGACGGCTTCGGCACCGGCCCGGCTTGTTTCACAAGAGCAGCTCCAAGAAACCGCCCCGCTGCTGGCACAGCCTGGCCCCAACGCCTGGTGGTGGCTGCTGGGCATTGCTTCCGTGGCAGAATGGTGCCAGATGAGCAGCAGGTGCAGGGCTGGAGCTGTGCACCACTGTGCATGCAGAAGTTGAGTGGCATCAAAAGCATGGACGGCACCGGAGTGGAGTCCTGGGGAAGAGAAGTCGAGGGGCAAAGGAATCCTAGGGAAAAGAAACCCAGGAGAAAAGAAATCCTATTAGAATAGAAATCCTAGGGGAAGGAAGTCCTATGGAAGAGAGGTCCTGTGGAAAGGGAATCCTATGGAAAGGGAGTCCTAGAGGAGCACGTAGAGGAAAGATGTGCTAGGGAAAAGTTATCTTAGGGAAAAGGAACGCTGGGGAAGAGAAGTCATACAGAAATCTTGGGGAAAAGAAACCCAGGAGAAGAGACATCTTAGGGGAGAGATGCCCTAGGGAAGAGTTGTCCTATGGAGAGGGAATCCTAGAGGTGTCATAGAGGAAAGACGTCCAAGGGAAAAGGAATCCAAGAGAAAAGGGGTCCTTGGGGAAAAGTAGCCCTAGGGAAGAGAAGTCATAGAGAAATCCTAGGGAGAAGAAGTTCTAGGGAAAAGAAACCCAAGGAGAAACAAAATCCTATAGAACAGAAATCCCAGGGGAAAGGAATCCTAAAAAGAAACATTCCTTTCCCATCTCCCATCACCAGGCGCTCAATAACAGGACCTCGCCATGTTGCTCAGCGCTGTCCATTGAGCCAATGGCCCCGCTTGGGTGGGGGCACAGATTGGACACTTGGGGGCCTGGCAGTGCCCCCAGCAGCCCCTCATTGACTGCCTGGCCCTGGGCAGAAACGGGCATTGACAGCAGCTGAAAAGGAACGGGAGCACAAAACGCCGCACAGAGCATCACAAAGACAGCCTGACGTCAGGGCGCTGCGAGGTGAAAGGCGCCGGGCCAGCAGAAGGGAAGCTGTGTTTGAAAAATGACAATTTCTGTCTAGGAAATGCAAAAGGCTGTGAAAGGAGCCCTTCTTCGGGGCTCTCCAGGAGCCAGGCACTGAACAAGAACTGCCTTTGAACAGGGATGGACGCTGCTCGGCTGGCGGCCAGAGGGAGAGCGGCGGAAAAATCGCTGCGTCGCGGAGACACCGATGAACTCCGCGTCCACCCAGTGCTGTGGGTCTGTGCTGTGCTGTGGGGCACCCAAAACGGCGTCCTGTTCTGAGATATGTGATGTGTTCTGGAGCAAAGGTGTCACATTTGGATGAGGGCTGTGTGATGTGTGCCGCGTGCGGCTTGGGAACGGCGAGGTGGTCACCAGGGGTGGCTTTGCTTGGGGGGTTTGCTGCACAGTGCATGGAGGTGATGCTGAGGTGGCAGTGATGGTGGGGAGGAATTGGGGATGCTCAGGGTGCAGAGGTTTGCAGCAAAGCACACTGCATGGAGGTGATGCTGAGGTGGCAATGATGGGGGCAGGAATTGGGGACCATCAGGGTAGGGGTTTGCAGCACAGTGCATGGAGGTGATGCTGAGGTGGCAGTGATGGTGGGGAGGAATTGGGGACCATCAGGGTAGGGGTTTGCAGCACAGTGCATGGAGGTGATGCTGAGGTGGCAGTGATATTGGGTAGCAATGGGGGGTGCTCAGAGTACAGGGATTTGCAGCAAAGCACACTGCATGGAGGTGATGCTGAGGTGGCAGTGATGTTGGGTAGGAATGGAGCATGCTCAGGGTGCAGGGGTTTGCAGCACAGTGCATGGAGGTGATGCTGAGGTGGCAGTGATATTGGGTAGCAATGGGGGGTGCTCAGAGTACAGGGATTTGCAGCAAAGCACACTGCATGGAGGTGATGCTGAGGTGGCAGTGATGTTAGGTAGGAATGGAGCATGCTCAGGGTGCAGGGGTTTGCAGCACAGTGCACAAAAAGCCAGGGATGGGGCACAGAAATGGGTGACAGCCACTGGAGTCCGTCCCCTTCCTTTGCTGAACTGCACAGAGATCTCCTTCCCCCGAATCCAGCGCACAGTTCTCATTTTGCCGCCCCTCAAACCCCATCAGACTCCCAGCAGAGCTGGAAGGGGAGCTTGGCAGGCTGCTCGGCCCCTCCCGGCAGCGCTGCTGGGCAGAAAGCAGGAACAAAAAGGAGGATGGTGCCATCTCCCGGCACCGCTCGGCTCTCCCCACCCCGCAGCGCACCGCGAACCGCCGGGGACTCTGTGAACTCTGCGGGGCAGGTGGGGAAACTGAGGCACGGAGCAACTCCTGCCGTCGACCCGAGGGCACAGCCTGTCCCTTACATCCCCTCTGCCCTCCCTGTAGGGCTGCGGATCGCTTGGCTCCTTCGTCCCATCTCACCTCTGCAGGTCTGTGGGGCGCAGGGGTGGCCGAACCCCATCTCACATCTCCATCCATGGGGTGGATTTGGGCAGCTTGGGGTCGGGTTCTGCTTCAAAGTCAGAAATAAATGAGTTTGCTTCTGAACTGACAAAGAAGTGACCCTGGGAACAAGCCCACCTCCAACACACGTTTGTACTTACAGCATTTCAGAGGAGGGATCCTCATCTTCCTCAAGCACAACCCCACAGCCGTAGGGATTCATGGTTCAGCAGCTGAACTGCAAACAACAGAAAGGCCACGGGAGGACATTTCAGGCTCTTTAGTTCTGGTTGCCACAAAACCAGCACCTTTTGGCCCAAAACCACCACACTGGTCAGCATGCAGAAGTGAAGCCCACCTCAGGTTGCACCCTTTGCTCCAACTTGCCCAATTCTGGGCAATTTGTGATTGAAAACTGCCCTACAGCCCTCAAAACGTGGTTCAAATCCCAGTGGTTCAAATGAGTGAGAATCCATCCCTGTAGCCCTACGGATGGCCGGGGATGCACGAGGGCTTGGAGATGGGATGGAACCCTGGAGAGCATTCAGAAGAAAGAAGGGGTTCCCCCTTTAGCCAACGCAATCCTGCAGGATTCCCATCCCAGCTTTCACCCTGCCCCACTTCCCCGATAACCATCGCAGCTTTCCTTCTCTAATTGCTTTCTGCCATTCTCACAGATCACCCCCGAGAACCCGGGCGCGCTCTTTCTCATTCAATGGGCGATCAGTCGCTAATCAGCCCCAACGATCCGGCTGCGATAAGGTCCCGGTTTGTTGTTAATCAGCTTTAATGCACGGCTGGGGCGGAGCTCCGCGCGCTTCGTTCACAAGCAGCAGCTCACCGCTTTCCGTTCAACTCTGCTGCGGTGCTTTCTCCTTGCAGGTATTTCCGACTGGGGAGAAAACAATTTATGTCATGCATTCAGGGCAATGAGCTGAGCACCAAACTGCAGGACCCCATATCCACCCCACCCAACACAACCTGAACTCCCATCACTGCAGGACCCCATATCCATCCCATCCTCCAGAACCTGAGAACCCACACTACACCCTGCAGAAGCTGAGCACACACACTGTGCAGAACCCCCATATCCATCCCACCCTGCAGAAGCTGAGCACCAAACTGCACGACTCCCATATCCACTCCACCCAATGCAACCTGAGCTCCATCATTGCAGGACCCCATATCCATCCCACCCTCCAGAACCTGAGCACCAAACTGCAGAACCTCACACCCCCCCCACCCTGCAGAAGCTGAGCACTGCAGAAACTGAGCACCAAACTGCACGACCCCCATATCCACCTCATTCAACACAACCTGAACTCCATCACTGCAGGACCCTATATCCATCCCACCCTCCAGAACCTGAGAACCCACACTATACCCTGCAGAAGCTGCGCACACACACTGTGCAGAACCCCCATATCCATCCCACCCTGTGGAACCTGAGCACCAAACTGCAGGACCTCCATATCCATCCCACCCTCCAGAACCTGAGAACCCACACTACACCCTGCAGAAGCTGAGCACACACACTGTGCAGGACCTCCATATCCATCCCACCCTGCAGAAGCTGAGCATCAAACTGCAGAACCTCACATCCCTCCTCACCCTGCAGAAGCTGAGCACCAAACTGCATGACTCCCATATCCATTCCACCCAATTGCAACCTGAGCACTCACATGACAGGACCCCATATCCACCCCACCCAACACAACCTGAACTCCATCACTGCAGGACCCCATATCCATCCCACCCTGCAGAACCTGAGAACCAAACTACAGGACCCCATATCCATCCCACCCTGTGGAACCTGAGCACCAAACTGCACGACTCCCATATCCACCCCACCCAATGCAACCTGAGCACTCACATGACAGGACCCCATATCCATCCCACCCAACACAACCTGAGCTCCATCACTGCATGACCCCATATCCATCTCACCCTGCAGAACCTGAGGACCCACACTACACGACCCCAAGGCCATCCCATCCAGCAAGATGTGTCATTATTCCACAACTCCCATGAGGTTGAGCCCTCATCCCCTAATGCAGCCCACACAAATCTGCTCCTTTCCTACTGCCAGGGCAGAAGAGGATTTATGAGAGTGGCTGCTGTGATTTGAGGCTTGTGAGGATGCAGGAAGGAACCTGAATGACTTCAGATGACTTGGTTTTTGCAGCTCTTGGGCTGCTTTGTGAGCCAGGCTCTTACAATGCTTTGTTAAGGAACACATCAGTGCTGTGCAGGCTGATTCCAAGAAGGTGTCAGGGCAGCTCTCCCCCATTTCCCGGCTGCAAAAGGTTGTTTTTAATCCTGGAAAGTGAAACCTCACTGAGACAAATGAGACCAGAAAGGAGAAGAGCTGTTCATGCTTCTTTAAGCATTGGGATGAGGAATGGACCACCTCCATAGCAGCAGGATCAGAGCAGAGCGTTGTCAGGTTGTGCTGTGACTCCATGGACAAGCTGCAGGGATGCGGTCTGGTGTTGGTGGCTGGGAGGAAAAGGAGTTGTCTTTCTGTGCAGAGCAGTTCTGAGTCCTTCCACCTCCTGAAGGGCTCCATTTGTGCTGTTCCTTCCACCCGCTGCTCGGTATTATCACATTTCACAGGAGTGAGAAGGATCTGAACAAACAGAGCCGGGGAGCTTTGAGAAATGCTACAAGCGCCACCTACACCTCGCTGCAAATGTCAACAGGAATCAAGAAGTTCATTTCCTATGCAAGCAAAAGGCTTCAAAGCAAGCCTCCCCTCCTGCTTCACACCAAAGGGAAACGCTGCTGCCTGCAGTAGGCAATGGAAAAACGCAGCTGGGATAAACAAAGGGATGGAAATTCTGCTTCGGCAGCCAGCGCTGCTACATCAGGCAGCCTGAACCCCTGAGTTCTGAAAACCTCTCCCTAGAGTGTCTGCATCTTCATTTTCCTCCCCTCGAGATGGCTTTGTGTGAATGCCAGCCCTCTTCTGGGGGTGAAGCCTGGTGCCAGGGCTCCTTCCTGTCTTAGGTTCGGGCACAGGAGGTGAGCTAAAGGCTTTGGGTAGTGCTGGAGCCAAGTAGAAGCCACCTCCCAGTGCCGGGGTTTGGGCCAGCTGAGGAACAAACCACTGCCTCTTGGGAAACCAGAGCTTTTTGGCATCCCTGATAGCCTTGAGTCCATTTTCTGTAAGGTAATGACAGTGATAGAACCACAGGAACATCGAGGTTGGAAAGGACCTCTGAGATCACTTAGTCCAACCAGAACAAATCCTACCACCACAACTTCCCACTAAGCCACATCCCTCAGTGCAACACAGAATGGCTTGAGTTGGAAAGGACCTCAAGGCTCACCAACATCTGAATGTTTCTTGACCACTTCCAGGGATGTGACTCCACCACCTCCCAGGGCAAAGATGCGACGGTGCAAAGGCTGTGAAGGCTGTCACCATGTAGCTGTCTGCTGCTGCTGTCTGGAAGAAGGGTGACTTTGGAAAGCATCATCCTATGGGTAAGGAAAAGAAGATATCTAACATTATAGGGTGGAAAGCATCGTCCTACAGGCCGGGCTGGAGCAGGCTCTGAGCACTGGGTTGAGCTGTGGATGTCCCAGTTCAGTGCAGAGGAGATGGGCTGCACTGGGTCACTTCCGACCCAAACCATTCTAGGATGGCACCTTATCAAGAGCTTCACTCCACAGTGATGCTCAGATGCAAATTATGATCACAAACCATCTCAGCTGTTTGGGCTCTGGTGATTATCACAGCAATCAACAGAGCTTTGCTGATCCACACCTGCTTCCAGAAGTTGCAGGATGCTTCGGAGCATGCAGCATCCCCGTGGTCCCCCCCCATAGGGGACTGCAGCCCTCCTGCTAACTCTGATGTGTCCCCACTCCCTCTGATGTATCCCTGCTGCCTTTGATGTGGCAGAGTGAGCCCTGATAGGGATGAGCAGCCTTTGGCAATGGGAAAATGAAACCTCCCAGACCCTGAGAACGCAGAGCACGGAAAAATGCGTGAGAAATGGAAATGACAAGGTTGTTCAGGGCGCCTCTGTAAGGACAGCTTCAGCCTGGAGAGGTGATAAAGCAAGATTTCATGTGCAGACGGACAACAGCTTTGGTTGAAGTGGAGATTTGTGGGAGAAATCCATTTGTAAGAAGAGCTCTACAGGATTTTATTGGGAGCACGGAAAGCAGAGTGTACTCCCTTTAATTAACTTGTAATTTTGGGTATCTGTCATTTGGCAGAAGGGTTGGTTTTCTCTTTTAACGAATCATAGAGCATTTCTGACCCAAGAGAAACATGCAGAAAGTTTCCCAACTCCACGTGCATTTTTATCACTGAGGTAACACAGCACGAGCTGAATACGAATAGGCAAAAGCTGCCAGGAAAGGGAACAATAAATCACAACCTTCCCCTCCTCTGCTCCTCCAAAGGGGCCTTCCTGCATAATTCTGGCCCTCAGTTTGGTAGCACTGCAGAAAGGGAGGCTGAAGGCGTGCACAGGGGCAGGGGGAGAAGGAAAACTGATGGGAAGGGGGTCTTCAGATGGAGCTTCGTGGTGATGCTCCATGGGACGAAGCTGTCACATCATTGGTGCAGCAGATGTTGGTGCTGCAAAACCTGCGTGCCCTTTGCTTGGCTGGCAAGTTCTGCTGTGCACCAGCGCTGCTTCTGGTGGGAATGCAGCCTGGGGAGCAGAGCCTGCCTGCACAATACGACTCTTTGGGTAAATAACAGCTGGTAACGTGTCTTGCTAGCAAATAAAAGCCTCTATTCTAAATTACAGCGAGCCTGAGCTGCCCTGGCCCCATTTCCCCATGGCCGTTGCAAGCTCTGCTTTTGTTTGCATGCAACGAGCACTAGAGGGCTGCAGAGAACTGCTTTTGCCGTTGCAGACGCTGACATTAAGGCAGGATGCAGCTTTTCCCTGCCAGTTGCTCCAGTCCTTAAAGGAAAGCAGGCAGCAGGAGCGCGGGGTGGGATGGTTTGGTTTTCCTCACCTGGAAATAGGAGGTGGGTGTCGTTGGGATGCAGAGGAGAGGCACTGCTCACACTGGGAGGGAAACAAGAAGTGAGATGTTTTGCTGCAATAAAGCGAAATAATTCAGGTTCATCTCCAGTCTGACCCCCTTCATTTTGCTGATTTCGCTGTGGCCCCGTGGCTGCGTAATTTTTGCTTTATCCTGTGATCCATTTGGAAACTTTTTCTTTGCCAGTCGTTTCCTGACCACCTGTCTGGCAAACCCAACCTGTATATAGAGCTGTCAAATTTATGCCCCTTTTTGTCACTTTCAGGTTTGTAATGCCACTCATGGGGTGGAATGGAGTAGAGTAGAGTGGAATTGAGTACAGCAGAGCATGGTAGAGTGGAGAGGAGTGGAGTAAAGTAGAATGGAATGGAGTAAAGTAGAATGGAGTAGAGTAGAATAGAATGGAGTAGAGTGGAATGGTGTACAGTGAAGTAGAACAGAATGGAGCAGTGCAGAGTACAGAAGAGCAGGGTAGAATGGGGTAGAGTAGAATAGAATGGAGTAGAGTAGGGTAAAATTGAGTAATGTAGGATGGAATGGAGTAGATTAGAGTAGAATGGGGAAGAGTAGAGGAGAGTAGAACAGAGTAGAGTGGGGTTGAGTAGAGTAGAATAGAGTTGAGTGGAGTAGAGTAGAATGGAGTAGAGTAGAATAGAATGGAATAGGGCAGAACTGAGTAGAGTAATGTGGGATAGAATGGAGTAGAGTAGAGTAGAGTAGAGTAGAATGGAGATTAGAGCAGAGTAGAACAGAGCAGAGTAGAACAGAGCAGAGTGGAGTAGAGTACAGCAGAGTAGAGTGGAAGAGCAGGGAAGAGGATGGTTTGGATTGGATCTTGAGTATCGTCTCCTTTGAGCTCGTAGTTTCTCCTGAGTTTCATTTTTATCAGATATTTTTTGTTGGAATCTTCATTACTGTTTTGGTGCCAGTCGTCAATAAAAGCAGGAAACCAAGCAGCTCTGGGCTCTGAAGATCTTCCCAAGACCTCTTCTCAACCTCCGTTACTGCAAGCTTCTCACCTTCCAACCAGCTGATCCAGAGATTCCATCTTTCTCCTTCCCAATGGACAATGTAGATGACAGAGCTGGCTTCCCCTGGTAGGGAAGGAGAGTGCTGCATCCCATCTAAATGCCTTCAGCACAGCAGGTTTCCTTCTGCTAGCCAACAAAATGCGTAACAGTCACAACCTGTTATTTATTTATTTTCTTTGCTATTGTTTTGCAATCACACCTAATTCCAAATACTTGAAAATCTGGCCATGAAAGGAAAAACACAAAACCCAAACCCCCCCCCCCCAAAAAAACAACCCAAAGCTCTACATGTATGAATACTTTTTTCTTATTTAAAAATGTAATTATACAGACACAGCAGGACAGAATTTGCAGTATAATTATGCAAACAGGAGTCACTGAGGCCAGCGTCTGCTCTTCAGCCGAGACAGGCAACATCTCTGCCTGCAGTAACCCTATTAGCAGAGGCTGTTGAATAATACAAGCCCCCTATATTTGCTTTAGGGCGCAATTCACCCATCTGCAGAGGGTCAGAACCGGAGCTGTGTTCTACTGAAGCCTTATTTAATACCTATAAATAAGGTATAAGTGATGTGTGGCCTTGCACTGTTCCTTTATCTGGGGGTCTCGGCACGTGCTTTCTCCCAGCTCAATACCAAATAGAAATCATCTCTTGCGTTTCGCTCTGTTTTCTCTTGCTTGTATTTTCTGAAAGACTTGGGTGCTGCCAACCAACTTATGGCACTAAAAAAAACCCCAACGTGTATAAATCTACATACATCATTGTGAATGGAACTATTGCTGCATTGCGCCGAGGAAATGGGGAGTGGAGAAGGGGGGAAATGAGGAAAGAATGGGAAAATACAAGATGGATACAATCACAAATGAGAGGCAAAGGCAGTTTTGAATGCTGGGCCTTGCAGCTTCTGAGTTTTCTGCTCTTACAACAAGAAATCAGAACGCTCAACAGAGGGAAATTGCTGCTTCCAGCAGAAAACATCCTCATGGTGATGTGTTTTCCTCCAGCTATGCTCGTAAGGAACTAACTCTTACAATGGGAGATGAGATGTAGGCTGTGCAGGTTTGGTGCAGATGGCCAAATGGCTCTGCTTTCATTGAGCCCTTCGTAGCAAAAGGTGTTTTGAGCACATTTTCTTTCCTGCAGTTTGCCACCAGATGGCACGTACACACCGTGAGAGCTGGGAGGAAGCAATGGGTCAGCAGAGAGCCTGGAAATGGGCTGAGATCCCCTGAACGGCCCCTTGGTCACCTTGAGTAAGGGAGGAGGTGATGCTGGAGCTACATTTCTGATGGGGTTGTGTCTGTACCAAGTGACCTCCAATTAAAATGGGAACAGGAGAGAGTTCTGCGTTCGGGTTGATAACGAGGGAGGCCATCAGGCTGGACGTGCTAAAAAGGCTGCATTTTCTCTCCAACCCGTTGTGTGAGAGTCTGAATATCAAGCATGGCTGAGCCGGTTCTATGGGTACCACTCACCCCTCGGCCTCTGCTTCTGGGTAGCTTGAATTGGTTGATGCTGAGCTTCCAGTGAGGGGAGATGCTGTGAGTGAGACCTGGGCACAAGTGAGGACAAGGACTCTGCCACTGCCCTTCATCCCCAGCATCCTCTATGAGTGACACAGAGAGGTGACAGCACGGGGAGCACTGGGGCTGGCACATTCCAGCTGCAGAACAGCCAGAAAAGGTCACAACATCCAGCAGTTACCAACCTGCCTCATCTCACCTCTGCCTGCTGCCTCTCAGGTCCTTCCTTAGGCTAACTGCAATCTCCAGCGTTTTGGAGATGGTTGATTACTTTTCTTAGTGTCTCCTGCAGGGCTGGCAGTGCTCCCAGCACAGCTCCCACCACCCCTCTGTGCAGTGGGAACTCTCACACTGTCCCAAAACAATGCAAGCTCCTTCCCAAGTATCTCCTATTTTCCTGCTGCAGGTGCTGATGGGGAGCTGATGCTCACCCCTGCTATTTCTGGATGACCCCAAGGTTATTTTCCCTTTATTCCAGCACTGGGGAAGGCTCATCCAATTGTTTCACCCCCTGCAGTGCTGCTGTCTTCTCCAGCTCCCTGAGCACCAAGCAGGTAATAACCTCCCATGTCTCATATACAACATGTTGCTTAATACTGTCTTCCCTTCCCTTCCCTTCCCTTCCCTTCCCTTCCCTTCCCTTCCCTTCCCTTCCCTTCCCTTCCCTTCCCTTCCCTTCCCTTCCCTTCCCTTCCCTTCCCTTCCCTTCCCTTCCCTTCCCTTCCCTTCCCTTCCCTTCCCTTCCCTTCCCTTCCCTTCCCTTCCCTTCCCTTCCCTTCCCTTTCCCTTCCCTTCCCCTTCCCTTCCCTTCCCTTCCCTTCCCTTCCCTTCCCTTCCCTTTCCCTTTCCCTTCCCTTTCCCTTTCCCTTCCCTCTTTCCCTATTCCCTATTCCCTTCCCCTTCCCCTTCCCCTTTTTTTCCCTTTTCCCTTTCCCTTTTCCCTTTCCCTTTCCCTTTCCCTTTCCCTTTCCCTTTCCCTTTCCCTTTCCCTTTCCCTTTCCCTTTCCCTTTCCCTTTCCCTTTCCCTTTCCCTTTCCCTTTCCCTTTCCCTTTCTCCTTTCCCTCCCATAAGGACCACTGAATCCAACTCTGGGTCCACCCAAAACTCTTCTTTGACCCCACACTTGTTGTTGGATCCATCCAAAGATTCAAGGGCAAGTTGAAAAAGAGTCTCTCCTGCATCTCCTGAGGGTCTCATGGCACCTGGGCAGGGCAGGTGTCAGCTGGTGGCAGATGCCCTGCCTTGAATCAGGGATAAAAGCTGAAAACTCCTCTTCAAACCAATTTGCTTGAGTCATTTCCTCCCAACCCCCCCCCCCCACACACACACCCTGACCTGTGAGCCTGGTTTTTATGTACTGTGGTAAATGCTGTGCCTTGAAAAGACCCACACATGAATAAAAAATCAGGCTGTCACTCTGCTGTGTTCCTTTTAAAGAGAAATTGCTTAAAGCAGCAAGAAGGATGTCTAATCTTGGGAATCTGAAGCCAGCGTTTGCAAAGAGGGGGAGGCGGGGGTCACTGCAGTTTATGCTCATGAATAATGCATCTGACATTGTAGCCATGCAAATGGAACCTAACAAGCTCCAAACTAAATAAAAATCTTGGTTGTTATGTCTTTTTTTTTTTTTTGCTTTTTTTTTTCACTGGCCTCTCTTCCCAGCTCTCCCTTGGATTTTGGGCTCCAACTTTGGGCATCTGAAGAGATGGGAGATCATTGGGAACGTGGGGCGACCCTACAAATCATAGCATGGAATCACAGACTCATAGAACGGATTGAGTTGGGAGGGACCTGAAAGATCATCAAGATCCTGGAGCTTGGAGCCATCCTATAATTAAAAGACAGGATGTACACAGCACAGGAGTCTGCTCCTAGGTGAGATTTCTTTCTTCTACAGGCTGGTGAGGGACGGCTGCCCAGAGGAACCGTGGGTGCCGCATCCCTGGAGGTGCCCAAGGCCATGGGTGGGATTCTGGGCATCCTGATCTGATGGGGGGCACCCAGATCACAGCAGGCATGGAACTGAATGATCTTTCAGGTCCTTTCCAACCCAAGCCATACAAGGATTCCATGACTTCTACAGGAATGACTGAGAAACAGCATTAGGAAACTTACCCTGTGGAGGAGCTGTTATAGAGAAAACGATTCCAGGCTCGCCCTGTTAACAGCCAGAAGTGAAGTGGGACCGTCAGATTTGGGGTAGTTGGTTTAGACGCACTCCATCCTTCAGCCTGCTCATCTCGTGCTCAGCACTGAGGCTGGTGGGTGGCTTTTGGGTGAAGCACAGGGATAGAGGGCTAGAAGTGCCATCAGGGAGATGCTATGGGAGACATTTTTATTGCCTGAGAAACATTATGATGAAGCAGTGGAAGCCTTTCAATCGTTTTACAAATCTGTATTGGCTGGAAGCACTTCAAAGCCAATGGAGAAAAGGAAGATGCTGAATTCAGGGACTGAGCTGGGGTGAGTGCAGCCCCTTTCCAATCACTGGATCTTTCTCCTTGCCTTCAACAAACTCGCAAATGGATTGCCCAAAGGGATACAAAGCCAAAAGCTGCAGACCTTATTTCTCTGCTGGGCTAACCTTTACAGCTCTGATGAACAATATTTTACACAGCTATTGCTTGAACAGAAGTCACTGCATTGTTTTTTATACCTCTGTCTCCTGTCAGGAAGGAGCTAGAGTAAATCCTCCTTGGACAGCTCACGAAATCCTGACCCGAGTGCTGATCATTTCTGTGTTTTCTCAACTCGGAGCACAGGCAAGGATGTGCAGGAGGTTATTGATGAGCCCAGAGCAGCTTTCACCTTCTTTTCTTTTCTGTCAGTTGTATATGCCTGGCTTTGGCTGCGCAGCGCCTTTCTGTTTGAACCAGTAACACGACCTGACAGCAAGGCATTCCAATCTAAACAGTTGGGTCCATGTCTATCTGCCAGCTGTTTCTGCACTGAGATAAACCATGCCAGCTCTATCTTTGCAGTGCAGCAGAGAATGGGAATAGCTCCTTGTGCTACAGCCCAGACTGCTCCAATGGACTCCACTGCAGACCTTGGGATCCCATGGTTTTGCCCAACACCTCATCCATGCAATTGCTTGCTTCTTGGCAGCTCTGGTCCCCTCCTGGGCTCTGCCAGCTCCTCTTCAGCCCACACTCATACCAAGGGCTGCTGAGTGATGAGATTTCATCAAAGACTCTTCCTGTGGGATGGCCAATGTCAGTCCTTGGTTGATTCCCATGGTGAAGAGGATGGTCAGTGTCAGTCCTCGGTTGACCCCCACGATGGGGATGATGGCCAATTTTAATCCTTGGTTGATTCCAACGGTGAGGACGATGCCCAGTGTCAACCCTTGGTTGATTCCCATAGTGGGGAAGATGGTCATTGTCAAGCCTCGATTGACTCCCACAGTGAGGATGATGGCCAGTGTAAATTCTTGGTTGACTTCCACAGTGAGGAGGATGGTCAGAGTCAATCCATGGTTGAATCCCATGGTGAGGAAGATGTTCAGTGTCAACCCTTGGTTGATTCCCATGGTGAGGAAGCTGTGTATAGAACACTAGAGGGAGATTTACACTTTCCATAAGTTGTCAGTCCTGACTCCTGGGCCCCAAGAAAGCACATCTGGCAGAGCAGGCAAGAAAAATGTCCAACCTTGGTGTTGGATATCTGAGCTTCACACCATAGCATCTCTGCAACCATCAGTGCAGGGCTGTGGAGAGATGAGGGCATCTGTGTCACACAAGGGTGGAATATGGGAATTTGTGTCCTATAAAGATGCTCTGACAAAGCTGAGTCAAGAAGAAAATAAGATGGCATGGCAAGGATGTGTTTTGGGTAAGCAGAAAGCGTCAGCTGCATCATCCTAACCTGACTGAATGATGGAGAATTACAAGCTAGCAGCAACGCAGTTAATGCAGGCATTAAGGACATTACAGAAGGGGTAGCTCTAAGTAAATCTTTCATGTAATTAACGGTACAGTTCTGCAAATTAGTGGAAATTACATATTGAAATGCTTGGACGCCAGCCACAGTGGAGGGAACGCGCCGACTTCTGTCTGATCTCAGAGCCTGGCTGCCTTTTATCTGCCAAATACTTGAACAGAAAACTACCTGGAAATCCAGCCAGTGTTTGGCACAACATGAGAACTGAGCAGAAGGCCATGGAGACAAAGCGAGTGCAAGGACTGCACTCGAAGCCATTCTTGTGGCTGAATTCCTGTGGGAGAAGAGCAAAGCCAAACAAAGAGCAGAGCTCAGAAACCACAGACTGTGATGGAGTGATATCACAGGTTAGAACCTTTCCATCCTCTCCTTTCCCTCAATCCTGGCTCCTTAAACACAAGGAACTGTGCACGGGAAAGCACACAAGGAATGAGTCACACTCAAATATTTGGACGTTTACGTCTCTATCTTGCACAGAAAGAAGAATCTCAGGCTTAGGCAATGCAGATTTTTGCACAAAGACAGAAAAAATGACCCCCAAAAGCGTGAGGAATGGGGTCACACACTCTCACTTCCCCAAATTCACCCACTCAATGACAAGGCATCCAAATGAGCCCTGCAATAACGTCCATCGCCCCCTCCATCAAGCAGCAAGGCTCCATTGCCAGCATATACATTTTTGCTCTTCCTGCCCTCCTCATTTCCATTGCAGATCCCAGAGGAACATTGGAAACGAGGTGAGATAGGATGAGAAGAGCCCTTAATTGCACACTGCTTCCCCTGGTGTGGTGCAGAGGTGTTTGCTTTGAAGAGGAGCTCGCTGCATCCAGCCTTGCACAGAAGTACTTCAAATAATAAGGAGAGATGCCTCTTTTAAACAAAACAGCACCTTGCTCTAAACAACAGCAGCAGCCACAATAACTGCAGCCCCAGGGAGAACACCATCTTCACAGGGACTTGACCAGCAGCTTCCCCCTCCCTTCCCCTTCTTTTCCCTTTTCCCATTTTATCCTCTTTCCTTTTTCTCTTCTCTTTTTCCCTTCCCTTTTCTTTTCCCCGTCATGTCCCATTTCTCTTCTTTCCCTTTTCCCACTTTCCCATCTTATTCCTTTTCTTTTTTTCTTTCTCTTCTTTTCCATTCTCCCTCTTTTCTTTTTCCCTTTCTCCTTCTTTTCCCTTTTCTTTCCCCTTTTCCCCTCCCCCCTCACCCCCCTCCCCATTTCCTCCCCATTAGGAGGACCGCCCCTCCCCCTCCCCTTCCCTCCCCCTCCCTCTTTCCCCTTCCCTTCCCTTCCCTTCCCTTCCCTTCCCTTCCCTTCCCTTCCCTTCCCTTCCCTTCCCTTCCCTTCCCTTCCCTTCCCTTCCCTTCCCTTCCCTTCCCTTCCCTTCCCTTCCCTTCCCTTCCCTTCCCTTCCCTTCCCTTCCCTTCCCTTCCCTTCCCTTCCCTTCCCTTCCCTTCCCTTCCCTTCCCTTCCCTTCCCTTCCCTTCCTCTCCCCTTCCTCTCCCCTCCCATCCCCTCCCATCCCCTCCCATCCCCTCCCCCTCTCCTTCCCTCTTTCCCTATTCCCTTTCCCTATTCCCTTTCCCTTTCCCTTTCCCTTTCCCTTTCCCTTTCCCTTTCCCTTTCCCTTTCCCTTTCCCTTTCCCTTCTTTCCTCTCTTTCCTTTCATCTTCCTCTTACCCTCTTTTCTCTTTTCCTTCACATAAAGCACTTGAAACTCACTGCCCTAGCCCTCTTTTTCTTTTCTTTCTTTTATTTTTTTCCCCGCAGAAAAAACAACAGAAGGAATCTCATTGCCAAGGGAAGCCCGAGCCCCCTAAGATCTCAGTGTTAGACAGCAGGATCCTGTCTGCCTCCCTGCAGAGTTTGCCCAGCTCCTCCTGGATTCCTCTCTGGCCCATCTAACGGAGGAAGCACTGATTTTGCCCCTTTTTTCAGGAAACCAAAACGCTCCCCTTGCAGCAGAGCCCCCCTGCACTCCTGGGCTGGCCGTACGGACGCACACAGCAGCGCCTCTTCTTTGCACGGCCGCAATTTCTCCAAGCACAGGTTGTAATTTCTCCACCCCTTCCCCTGCGGTTCTGGTGGGACGAGTTGTCCTGGGCTCTGGGTGCAGCCTGTCAGGCTCTCTGCAGCCACTGCTGTATTTTTATTCATTAAGGGAGTGAGCGGCGGAAACTGCCAAATGTCTCCCGTGGTATCAGCACACTCTTTTTAAGGTGATATGGGTCTGATCTCGTCAAAATTAATGGCTTATGGTTATTCATGCTATTATTCTTAATGGGGCCAAGCATATACTGTACCCAGAAAGAGGCAGCGCTTGACTTGTCAAAGATTTATGGCACATCATGACCTGGCTGGGATGACTGTAACATATAAAAACTTCATTGCTAATAACGATGCTGTGCTCAGAATAAAAAGGAACGGGGATGGAAAGATACTGCAGGCATCCATGGATCACGGTGCTTTCTCGTGTTCGTGGTCTTACAGGACCTCTGTTCACTGGAGGGTACAAGATGCAGCCAGAAGGGGGCTGCTAGCAGGTGGGCTTCAGGCTTTATGGCAACAGCCAGCCTTTTAGTTTGCATTTGCAAAGCAAATATTATCCTTATGTACCTTATGATGCTGATCCGGCTTTCAAAGCTCTTTACAGAACCATTGAGCTCTCTACAGCTCCCTGAAAGGAGGGTCAGGTTGGACGTTAGGAAAAACTTCTCCATCAGAGTAATTGGGTGCTGGAAAAGGCTGCGCAGCGAGTGGTGGAGTCACCATTTCTGGAGGTGTTTGAGAAATGTGGCACTGAGGGATGTGGTCAGTGGGCACCGTGGGGATGGGTTGGGGATCTTAGGGGTCTTTTGCAAACCTTCATGATTCTGTGATGCTATGACATAGGATCAGACTCTCAGAATGACTGGTGGAGAAGCGCCTGCACCATGGGAGACAGCAGGAGCTCAGGGATGTAATGGGGAAGGCAGCAGAATTCAGGACATCATTTCACTGGTGTGAAATAACGAAATTCAGCCGAGCAGGGGAACCCCGTCCTAATTAAAACTCAGATGCTGCAAACATTCGAGCACAGCCTGAACGATCATGGAGACACTCAGTGAAACCACCAGGACTTCGGAGGACACAGGCTGAAAATTGCCTTAATTAAACAAAAAGAAAGAAAAAAAGCGCAGAGATTTGTAAACATTGTGGGACTCCTGAATGCTAATTCCTGAGTGCAGAAAAAAAACCATTCTCCTGTGTGTTTATTAAAACCATATGTCTCTGCCCATTAGGCTGCAGAGAAAATGCTTCTTTGTTCTTTTGCTAGAAAGAAACGTTCCTCTGATTGCAAATAAATATTTCTGTAACAGGGGGAAACCTCCAAGGAAACAGTCTCCTCTAGAAGAAGGTTTGTGTTTCTTCTTTGCTCTAGGTGCATGATGTCTCATTTTTAATCAGTGCATTCATTATGATTAGCCTGACAAATAAAGCATCCCTAATTCATAGCAGGAACTGGGAAGAAATAAGAAAAGGGCAGCTTGGAACCACAGATCCGAGGCTTTAAAATGAAAAAAATAAAAATAATTAAAAAAAAAAAATAGAAATTTTGCCCAGTTTTGATGTCTTAAACACTCGGGTCCCCCGGTTCATTACGAGAAAACTGTCTCCATAACTGAAAGACTGAAAGGCCTTGATCAAAGCGTTAATATTTCTGCATCAGAGCAGGAGAGAGATTTAAATTGCCATTAAACCCTAAGGTGAGCCTAACCTGCCCAATTATAGGGCTAACACCCCATGGCTCTGGGATCTGTGAAGTGTGTGTGTGTTTTAATGGGGATTTCATGCTGGATTGGCAGTTCTGGAGCTTCGACTTCCCCATGGGCCACAGAGGAGGTGGAATGAGGGCAGCTGAGTTAAATCCTGCATCACATCAGTGCTTTGATGGACTGCTGGCAGCGCTCCCAGCGTGTGCTGGGACAACCTGAGATAAGCACATCAGTGTGGAACCTTGTTCACCCACGTTGCAATGTCCACACGTGTCTCGTTTCATTTGTCGTGTTCCAAATCTATTGATCTCAGTGCAAATCTCTTGGATTTGCTTTCATCCCAGCGGGCAGAAGCAGTTGCAAAGGGCCCGCTGGTAACGGGGTGGCTCCATCCAGTTGGGTGCAATGACCAGGGGCTTGGGATCACACGAGGCTCCTTCAGGAGGAAATCACCAGAGAAGACTCGGAGGAAGCAATCAGCGGAGTCAACGCTCGCAGTCACAAGAATGCAAAACGAAATTATTTAGTTACATACGCTATTAGCAGCAGTTTATAAGCAAATCATTTTGCCCATTCATGCCTCAGGCACCCCATGTGCAAAGTTCTTTCTGAAAGCTCTCGAGAAGCACCGATATAAATGGGTACTTATCATTGATTAGTGTGCTCTTTATCTCAGATCCGATGCTGGTGCAGCGTTAACAGAAAACGCGGTGTTTCACATCAGTGGTGCAAGGCTCCAGAAGACTTTCAGAAGAAAACACTGAGCAGTATGGCACAGTTCTGTAAATCACAGACTGAAACATGAAACATGAGCCAGAAAACAGAAAACAGACATGAAACATGAGCCAGAAAAACGGAGAAGGTATTTAAAATTACAGGAGGGTGTAAGTCATATAGATGGGACAAAGGATCAGAGGATGAAGTCATCCTGGGGTAAAGGAATTGTTTTAAAGCTCAGTGTGCCCAAAATCAGATTAATCAGGCTGTCCTCAAGGGGCAATGTCTGAGTCCAACGGGCTGCTATCAATCAGCAGAGACTTTTGTTATATCACCAAATTTTCCACGATCACCACCAAACTGACAAATGGACTACGCTGTATTAGTTGTGTTTACCCATCTGCTATGGCTGCTCCAATTTTCATGGCACCAGAGGGTTCCTGCTGTGTGCCCATACATGTTGTACATCTGGAGGAGACCAGGTACCTACCAGCGACTCGACATTTCTCCTGCCAAACTCTTTTTGCTTCCTATCTTGCTTATAAATGACTCAGTTTTGAATGCAGTTATTTGAAGTGTGTTTCAATTAACTGAGATCTGGGGGATTCTTCTGCTTCAAGCTAATCAGAGATCACTGTGAGGGACCAGAACACCTCAAAGCATCCCAGAGACAGGATGGTTACACATAGAGTTTTACCAGCATGCCCCATGCCTTCAAACATAGGTGCAAACCAATAGCAATCACAGCTCTGAACACAGGTATCTTTGTGCTCTGCCTTAGGTTCGGTGCTGGGGCATCTTGCTGATTGTAGCAGGGAGCTGGAATGAGGACCCTGAGAAAATTTACTGATGGCAATAAAATAGCATGCTGTCTTGGAACCGATGTACACAGCACAGCTCCTGGCTCGTGCTTTTGTCTTCTTGTAGGTTTTTTCATAAAGAAAGGAGCCCTAAGTCTCATGCAAACTGTTCCCACCGCGTGGACAAGTAGGGAAGATTTCAGCAAATCACTGGAAATTGCAGGGGTTCGTGTGCCATCTGCATCCCTGAAAATGCAGCAACCAACACTGACAAATGAATTTGTCATCTCATCTGCTCCAAATGGAGAGGAAATTAATGCCAACAGCTTCTGCCACACAAAGGCTGCCCAGCTCAGCCACCAGCAAGATGGATTTGGAGCCAGCTACCCCAACGCCACGGGTTTTGGGTGGACGGTGGGTGCCAACCTATTGCATGTTTTAAGACCTCACAGCAGAGCCAGTATCCAGAGCTGTTGTCCTGAAACACAATCTTGGCTTGTACCAACAATGGCAAAACAGTGAGGGAACAGATAGAAGCACACAGAACTGTGCAGGCTGCGCCCATGGTACCTGAAAGACGGATAAAAAAGAGGTGACCAGTGCTAAAAGAGCATGAATGACTGCTTTTGAGAAATAAAGGGTGAATATCTTGCAAGTGTTCTGCAGTATAAGCAGTTTCTTGCGTGGTTTACAAGATACTTCAACTAATGAAAGGTATCTGCAGTCATAGAATTGCTTGAATTGGAAGGGACACTTAGTGGCCATCTGGCCCAACTCCCTGCAATGAAAAGGGATACCCACAGCTCCATCAGATGCTCAGAGCCCTATCCTCAGAGCCTGACCTCGAATGTCTCCAAGATGAGGCATCCACCACCTCTCTGAGCAAACTGTTCCACTGCTTCACCACCCTTATTGCCAAAAACTTCTTCCTTACATCCAATCTAAATCTCCCCTCCTTTACTTTGAAACCATTTCCCTTCTATCACAGCAGACCCTGATAAAGTGTCTATCCCCTTCTTGCTTACAGCCCCCATTAACCACTGCTCACTGGGCATGATCTTATAATCAGCTCCTTACACACTGAACGGTCCATCTGACAAACCCAGATCTTTCTAATTTGGAGGGAAGGATGTTATGGGGGACAGTGATAAAGGGCCGTATTGAAATCCAGATAAGTGGCATCAATGACTCAATGACTTTTCAGATACCACTGAGAGTGGCTTGGCAGCTACGTTGGCCAATTCCCTCAGGACACTGGGATGCATCTCATCAGGACCCTCAGACATACAGCTGCCCAGTCACTGCTGTGTAAACAGAGGATGTAGGAATGCATTTTCACAGGCATGGTCATAAAAAGTGCAACTACTCCCACCCTGTAACCCCTCAGCCGTGATCTAATGGAACCGAAGGGTGGGATGTAGGCATTTGAAACCTCAGTGAACCACTCAGCAGTGCACGGGGGCAATCTCCTCAACCACTCCTGATGAATTCAACCCAACACAGTGAGTCCTACTCAGATTTTTTACTCAAGATAATGATTCCTACCCAGATTCGTACACCAGCACTCATTCTCCTGTGACCTCTTCAGCCAGGTTTGATGTCATCCCATTCTCTTAACCTTGCTACAACTCAGTGCTTGTTCTGCAGAACAGCAGTCCCACTGATTTCTTTCTCTTATCCTGTTTGTCTTTATTTTGGGCTGTATCTGCTGAGAAAAGGCCTTAAATGTGCATGTGGGCACACACAGCCCTGGTACAGTGGATAGAGCAGTGTGAAAGCTTCCTGAGATAAACACTGCCATCAGTATATCACTGCCACCCCCTCACTCCCTCAGGTGTTGTTAAAAAATGAGAGGTTTGTTGTAGAACTCCTTATTCTTTGCAAGGAAGGTTGTAAACTTTTTCTCTGATCTCATGTCGTTTTATTCTGTAATTTGCATTTTGGGAAGGAAGAAGAAACCTTTCCGTAAGACTCCAGTGTATAAATCTCAGTTTATTGTTTTCTATCAGGGCAAAATGTTAGTCCTTTGCCAGGTGTCTTAAATTAATAGGCTACAGGTTTAAAGCAAGGAGAAAAATGCCAAAAATGTTCCCACATTCGTTCTAGCCTTGAAAAGCACTGATTTAATTAATCTTCCTTCATCAGCAGTAGAAAGCATGGGTCTAATTGCTAGCTCAGAAGCACCAGTTGTCCAAGTGATTGGATGGTAGTTAGAGATGAAAGAGAGTAAAACAAGGCATTGATGAATGCAGGTTTATTAGGAGCTCTGTCTCATTGACTTGTCTCGTGAAGCAGTTGGAAATCGGCTACAAAGTAATAAAAGAAAATTAAAACACATAAAACTTTGTTAAAGTAACGTGGAAAGGCCCCCATTAAACCAAGGGAAAGAAAAAAAAAAGAAAGCAAGGAGCTAGGAAGTGAGAAGTAAAACACATCGTAAAGACTTAGTGTCCAATCCAAAGCCCATTGAAATCAATGGCACGGTGATATACGGAGTGGAAGCGTATTACTCAGCCATTAGAGGACTATTTGGGTTACACAGAGCCATGGAGCATGTGCACTTACTGCTGCAGAACAAGGCCACCTTGGGTAGAAACATCTCCCTGTAGGCATATGAGTAGTTGTATGCAACAGTGCACATATGGAAGGTGGCAAAGCACACATAGAAGATGGTAGAGCATGTATAGATGGCAAACTATGGATAGAAAATGGCAGAGCCCATATGGAAGATGGCAGAGACCATATAGAAGATGGTAGAGCCTACATGGAAGATGGCAGAGACCATATAGAAGATGGTAGAGCCCATATGGAAGATGACAGAGCACATATGGAAGATGGTAGAGCCCATATGGAAGATGGCAGAGCACATATGGAAGATGGCAGAGACCATACAGAAGATGGCAGAGCCCATATGGAAGATGGTAGAGCCCATATGGAAGATGGCAGAGCACATATGGAAAGCAGATTACCAGCATCATGGAGGCTGGGGGAGTGAATGCTTGGGAAGAACCAGAAAGTCCAAAAGATTTCTGACTTGATTTTTTTTCACTCTGGTTTTATTGAACTACAGAAGCCTGGAGATGTGAGACCAGGATCAGGCTTGTCTTTATTCTCATGTTTGGTCCTACTCCTTCCTACCTGGCTGCCTGTTTGTACATTCTGGCTTTGTCCCTCTCAGTGCAGTTTGTCACAGTGAAAACCTGCCAGGTCTCCTGGGTGTTTCTGCAGTACCTAAAAAGTCTACAATTTTGGTAATATGCAGCTGGCATAAATGGAGATAATGCAGAGGGAGGAGAGAGAAGACAAGGTAGTGCTGGAAATTAGTGTGCTTGCATAAGTCAATAATCACAGGGGTCTCCCAGGTGGCAGCCATC